AACGTGCTCATGGGATGGGGGTGGAGGTAAAGGGGCTTGTCCAGTGCATGCCGTGGGCAACTGTGAGCAGGGACTCATGATCCGTAGGCAGAAGTAGAATGGGGGCTTGTGTTGCACAGGCTGGGGGTGGAGACCAGCAACTCCCAGTGTCCTCTGAGCCATTCTCCTGTCTACGTGGCATAGGCTGATGTGTCTGGCAAGTGGAAAGAGAATACACATATTTCCTCTTGTCTGTGATGACAAAGCCAGTGTCATGCCTCACTGAGGAATGAGACAAAGTCTAAAGAAGGAATGCATCCTGACCTTCAGGTGTCTCTCCAGATACTGAACTGTGGAAGAGTTACTGTTTTTATAACATTTGATCCAAAAGCTTCTGTGAAAGTTACTCAAGCCATCTGCTTTCTAGATAGCCACATGCATGCTTCCAAATGGCTCCAATGTAAAACCATCTCTCCACACGATCAGTATGGTCCAGCAGGCTAAGAGGCTGTGTGAGTGGTTGAATCTGTGGACGGAGGTCATTTTTTTAACTCATGGGTTAAAAAACACTAACTAATAAATACATAGCTGTGGTTCTGTATGGAATCATTGCACTCAAGAATAAATGACTTTTTTTTTTTTTTTTTTTTTTTTTTTTTTTTTTTTTTGGTGCCTTGCCTTGTGGATGTAGCATGCGTGGGCTACTCAGCCTTTCTGTGAGGAGGTTGTGATGTTTGCCTCATAGCATAATATACGAAGATGCAACCATATTCCTTCCTGGTGCTTAAATTCTAAATCTCTAGTTTACATTGTAAATTCTATACACCCAGTTTTTTTTTTTTTGCAAGAAATTCTAATCTTAGAAGTTACTACTTACAGATGTCCAGTGTAAAACTTAAGACAGTAGCCCTGGATGCTTTCCAATTGAGTAGCATTCAGTTTTATTCTTTTGGAATATCACGTAAAAAGACATAACTTTCTATTGTTGATAATGTTTGGGGTGTGTGTAGTGTATGTGTGGCCTATGCCTGTGGAGGACAGAGGCCAGTATTGAACCTGCGTCTGGCTCCCTAGGCTAGGCTTATAGGTGAAACCCTACACCAGCTTTTTTTACATGGCATCTGGAGATCCAAACTCAGGTTTTTGCACTTACAATACCTTACCCACTGAACCATTTCTTGAGCTCCAAAAAGCTAATCTTAATCACAGCTCAGTCCATGTGTTCACTTACACATGTAACACAGTGTGAGTGGTACTCGAGAGATGCCGTGTGACAGGGTTCAAACAGTGGGGTTGTTTTTTTTTAGTTAGGGAAGGGGATTTTAAAAAGGGGAAAGGGAAGGGTGGAGACTGGCCTCTAGAGACAGGAGCAGCAGGAGAGAGGAGAAAGGAAAGGGGAAGAAAGAGAGGGAAAGAAAGAGAGAAGATTGGAGGTGGGCAGGGCCCTTTTAAGCATAGTGTATGTGCACAGGTGGTGCTCTTGGTGGCTGCAGCTGAGGGCATATCCTGTCAGAACCCCAAGGACAGGCCAGTACAGATACACTGGTATTGTCTGTTACAATTTTTTCAATGAGGGCTGAAGTGTAGCTCAGAGTTAGAGACTTGTATCATATGACTGAGGTCTTGTATTTGATTCCCAGCACCAGAAGGTAAAATAAAAAACCTTATTAATCACTTCCTGCACTGTTATGTACATTAAACACATGCATTATTGTTATGTTGGAGGATTATTTAATTCCTTGTCAGAAGAGAACATAAGTAATTTTGTTACTAACCTGCATATCTCCAGCCTGGAGGGGAAAATGAGTAATGTTGGTTGAAAATGACACCATTACTTCTGACAGATAGTCACAGAGGTGCCTAATGTGCTGTGGGTTGTAGTCTTGTCTTTGTAGCTTTGTGTGGTCAGGGTGTTTGTTGAAAATGTTTCTGTATTGCAGATTACTAACAGTGGCTTGACTAATGTTTTTATAATATGGATTTAGGATGTCATTCTGTGGCAGTGACAACCTAAGGATATTGTGATGGCCACAGATTGTCTCTGTCAAGGGTCTAGGTGGAAGCCTCCATGTGTCACACCATCCCTAACTTCTGACTGTCACAAGCAGGTGACAACTCCTTTGCATGCTGCACACCTCCTCTAAAGTCCAAGCCTCCAGGGGCCTCACTCATCTTTCCCTGCTTCTTCTTTGACATCTTGTGTTAGAGTACTTGCCTAGCATGACAGAGGCTCTGGGTCAGTCTTCAGCACTGGAAAATACAATACTCCGCTGCCTGGACTCTCCTTGGTTTAAATGTTTTAAAACCTGAATTTCTTAGTCAAACACCTCTTCCGATGATTGGTGAAATACCAGTTTAAATCCATTTGTTCTGCCAGTGTGCTCTCTTGTACCTGATCTGTTTTGTCTAAAAGTTCGTTCAGTTTCCTTCCTTGATGAGGCTTCTTCATCTTTCATCTTTGGGTGTTAGGGGAATTGTTGTTGCAATGCAAGGAGGAAACCTGGCCACATGAGAGCAGATTCCCCAGCATGCTTTGGAGAATTCAGTAGACTTTGTGATTTGTGGAAAGGAAGAAGTTGGGAGGTAGCATGAAAAGTGGCATATGCCAAATGATCGCTTTAACAGAAACCCCAAAAGTTACCCCAGACTGTTATGAAAGTCCCCACAGCTGAGATGCAACATGGGAAGAGAAGCCCCGAGTTGTGCACATGCCTTGCTCTCCATGCCTTACTGAGATGCATAAAGTGCAGGTAAACTCAAGAACCAGCTGCCCAGATTGAACTTCATCCTCTGGCCACTCGTACAGCACTCAGGTGTCAGTGCCTGCTTCGGCAGGCCTTACCACAGCCAGACACACAGCCTGTGTCGGATGCTCATCTTGGCAGTGTTTGTTGCCATCACCATCAGTGCTGGCTGGGTACTTGGCTTTTATCATTCAGCTAAAGTTGAGCTTATTTAGTCAGTTTGAAACTAATGTCTCTCTAGCAAAGCAATGAGAACACACATAGTTGGTTCCTGAAGAGTTGCCTTTTAGATAGCCCTGTCTTTTGATGATCACATGCTATGCCCTTAGAGTATGACTAGTTGGGGTGGTGGGGAGGGGAAGCCTTAATGACAGTACTGCTCTTCTCACATGCACAATTTATGGCTGATACCAAACAAGTCTGTTTCTTTAGTTGGTCTTTTTATTGTATAGCTAAGTGATATTTATAGAGCTAATATAGAATTAATAATGTCAACCAAGTAGAGGGTGAGTGTGCCAGCTCCATAATTCCTTATATGACTGTTGTTGGTGTGAGTCAGGGTGGTTGGAAATGGGACTGCAAGTTAGGTAGAAACACTGCCATTATTTTCCAGACCTTCTGCTGGCTGCTGCTTCAACATGCAGAGTGTGTTGGCAACTCCCTTCCAACCATTTGCTGGACAAGGATCCCCATGTTGGGTTGTAGCAGACATAGCTAAGAAAATGCAAGAACCAAAAATTCCAAAAAAAGCATTCGTAGCAGAGGAAATGGCTCAATCAATAAAAATGTTTGTCATGTACACATGAGGACCTGAGTTCAAGCTCTGGAATCCATGTATAAATTTGGGCATGGTGGTGTGTGCACTGGGTAAGCAGGGATAGGTAGATCCCTAGGATTTTTCTGGGCAGCCAGCCTAGCATGCATGGTGAGCTCCAGGGCAATGAGAGTCCCTGTCTCAAAGAACAAGATGGACTGTGCCTGAGGAATGGTACCAAGGTCAACCTCTGGCCTCTCCTTTACATGTTGTACATGTGCATGCCCACAGATGCAGAAAACACATGCACACACAAATATACAAACACTGGGGCCGCCCTCATTCTTCATACACACCTGGCCAGAGCTGACTTTCTAATATCCTTCATGCATCATTTGGAGGAGACAAGCTAGCTTTCCAGCTAATCACATTTTTAACCTACCTAGAAGGAAATGTCAAGCCTAGAGTAAATCATTTCCATAAACCTTGTTCATGCTTACCTGCTGCTTCACTAAATGGGAGAGGAGAAGTAATGTCCGTAAAAGGGAAGCATTTCTCAGTGCACCAGTCAGGTGTAGATAAGGATCTCTGTGTCTCTTTGCTTTTTATCAGTTAGTTGTGGAAAGGGTTTGACTCTATGTAAAGAATTTTCCAGCTCTCATAAGTTTGTGTGCAGTAGAAGCAACTGTGCACTATGGGGGAGGTAGTTGTTTTGATCTGATTTGTGCCTAAGGTCCTCTGGACACCAGAGGCCAAGCCACAAAGTTCTGTAACCACAGGACATATACAAGCGCAGTTGTCTGGCACTCTGGTCTAGAGCCCTATCCTGAGTGACTCCCAAAGTCTTGGAGGGGACCAGTGAGTCCCATAACCAATGCCACACTGGTCGCATTCAAGTCATGAAGAAGCATTCTGTGTGGTAGCTCAAGAGAGCAAGGAACACAGCTTATCCAAAATTATAGACTTTTTCCCTAGATGTGGATTCCCCCGTAGCATACTTACTGGATAGGGGGGGAAAAAACTGCTTTTTTTTTTCTTTTTATGATCTGCAATTCATAAGATGCATTAGTAAGTAAGTCACGTGTACTTCTTCAAATTCCTCTCCCGGGAAGCTCTTGAGTTTATAGCAGGATAAGTATGTGTTGAAATGTTCCCAGCATTTCTGTCCTGCCTTCTTTTTAAGCTGGGTCCAACTCTGCCCCCAAACCCTAAATGGCCTTATGTGCCTCTTCCCTGACTGCCCACATGCTTCCAACCCCTACGAGAGGATTCCTTGTCCTTCTTTTTGGAGGTAAGCACAGAGTGTTAGTCACTTAAAAGATCAGATGTTGGAACTACACTTCCAGGTCTCCTGGTGACAGCTTGGTGCCTCATGTTGGCCCTCACTTCACCACCACTACCCCCTTTCACTGCATCCATACCAGGTCCTGATACTGTCTTTGTGTGCAATGGGACGGTTTTTCAGAAGTTTTGCCACGCAGGGAACAGAGAGCAACATTAACACTTTACTCTCTTCTTTACAGACACGAGACGACTTCCTG